TCCTTATCCACGACTCTAGCAGCTGCGAGATGTGGAGCCGAAGACACTGTAGTCAAATAAGAGCGTAATCGCTTTTAGATTTTAGTAAAAGAAGGGTGCTTCCACATATCTATGAGCTAGCTCAACCTCAGTTGAGGGTAATTTCCAGTAGTTGTAGTGTACCGCCGTAATAAGGGGATGTTTCCGGCAGTTAGCTTTTATTTGGAACGACTGATTCATGAGTACTGCGGTAATGGACAAAGACCTGGTAAGTGGTATTGGGAAACCTATCGTTCGTTGAAATGCTTCCACTTCGTCAGAGGAACTGGAAGGAGATAAAAAACTACTTCAATTGGCCTCTGCGGAATTTTCCTCCTCTGTTGGTTTAGGAGAAATATGCATTTTATCGCCCACTCAACTTCGGACGATTACTGGGTTTCGCTCGTTTTTTACCCCTTGAATATCGCACGACTGAATCATTTTATTGTTATTATGTTTACTGCTGTTGTTGTATATTGGTATTATTATTGGCAAGATCAGGTAATTCCAAAACAGGCTGTTTTTTTGTTTTTCATAATGACTTCCTTTGGGTGGTACATTCCCCTCTCAGGCGCCGAAGCCCACATTTGACATGTGCTGCACTCCTCAGAAAGGTAGAACTGCTTTGTCTGCTATTACGGTTGAATAGATCCAACCTTGTCTGCTATGGGAGTTCAATAGGTCCAAAGCTCACACATTTTATAAAGCCTTATCTCTAACAGTAGCAATAGCGTTTTTTCGTGAATGCAGTTCCCCTGTATCACTTCGAGCATATCTGAACAAAATAAAATTCCATTTAATTAGTCGGTCGCATTAATCTGAGTTGCTAAAGACGTCTGCTGCTCCTTCTGTGAGGTTTGACAGGAGGACACTCAGCTTACCCTCCGTTATATCAGACTGACATAAATGCATACACTATAAATAAACATTGATTACTCGCTTTTCGCTTTTTCTATTTTTTTTCTCCGTCGATGTTCTGAAATTCCATCGCAACCAAGTTCTGATATCACAGCTATAATTATGTTTTGGAATGACTACCGCCTGCTTTTCAGATTCAATGGGAACATGAACACACGGGCGGCTCAGTATACTCTGGTGATTCCCACACTGATTGCTCTTGCTAATGCTGTGGCCAGATTTGAGCCAACATCAGTCTCTGATGTATCGTTGGTGATTCGGATGATCAAGGTCAGAATATAGCCGAAGTTCACAATTTTCTTTGGGTCTCATTAAGTTCTACTCACCTTAGTGATCGTTTACCCCTCGTTGGTTTTACGTTCACAGTATAGACTGCTTACCTAGCCCAGCGTACAAGCCTCTGTAAAGCTTGAAGGCACAGTTCACGATAATTTTGAGGTACGCGTTTTTATTCGAAAAGCGGAAGTATAGATTGGGAATAGTTCATTGGTAGTGAACAGAGAGAGGATTCGCCAATTTTGAGAGAAATATGACTCTTCAAAACTAGGGAAAATAGAGGTGAAATAGAGGTTGGAGACGAGATTTCAGTTATTGCAACTGCCGAAGGAGCTGGCTATATCAAGCCAGAACTGTATAGAACTCTCCTTCACTGTTGCTATGGGTCATGACAAGTTGTTTGAACCTCCTACATTGACTCCCTGTGATCGGTGCAGCCTCTACAATGCCGATGAAACTTACCACTCATACACAGAGGCCAATCTTTGAGGTATTAAAACTCCCTAACTAGACCGTCTTCCGACCTAATAGTACCAGATATGTTATACGTTATACGCGGGGCCTCGAATCCGTCCTGTGGAGGGATCTGAGAAACCACTTTTATCGTGAACTGTGCCTTTAAACAGCGCTTAAAGGCTTTGTACATTTTTTTGTCTAACAACTCCTTCGTGCACCTCAAGATTAAGAATGGAGTCTTATACTCACTACAAATTACCTCAATTAAGTAGAGCGCCATTATCATGGATGATGCCATTCAACTTTGATTTGCCCGAAATCGCCTACTGCTTCGATGTGAGGGCAATACTCCTCCTTGCTCTCATGCAATTTCTCCCCTCTCATTTTTATTAAGCTCATTTCTTACCTCTCTCTTATTGTTTGCGGGACCCCTAAAACCAAATATCCTCATTTTCTCATATTTCGATTAGTTGGGAAAGACGCTTTTGTTTTTGCAGGGCAGTAATGTCAGCAGTTTTGATATGTCCATCCAAATCTTCGACTTGGACCGACTAATAGAATACCGTAAGACGCAACTGAAAGGCTCTACACGAGATCAGGTTTGCTTCTCAGATTCTATTTTTTCCATGGTCTTGGTCTTTTCATAAAAGAGATAGAGTGACTTTAAAGAATTGATGTTCTCCACTACATCTTGAAGATTTTTTACTTGACTTCCCATTCTGCCGTTTTTGATAGATTTCAGTAGGGCGGAGTTCTATCCAAGTTCTCAAAAGAATTATTTTCAAGTAGGTGCCTAGCAACCTATAGCATGAGTTCCTTAGCCGCCGCGGTGATTTTACAGAATAGAAAAGGAAAGGGAAAAACTCAAGTGACTCTACTTCGCCAAATGTAGGTCGTTGTGTGAAGTTGTCAAAAGATATGAGCAATATGTAGTGAACATTGTCTGCGACCAAGGATCCGCTCTGCAACTCCTGGCCCTTGAGCAGGTTGTCTGCGTGGAGATCTGTCCAGGAGGATTTCTTCAGCGGCATTCGCGTTAGCGCTTTCAGTAGATGGTTACTGAACATGGATAGTGGCCTTTGACTGAATCCCTTAAGGCGATTCGAGTATTTTGAGAGATGCCGACATGGCCACGAAATCAAGCCTTCCAACCGTGATATGGCGTATTGCTCCTTTCTTACTTCTTTCTCAAAATCCTTGCTGATCAGCGGTTCGCCCATATCAGCTTTGTTGAGCTACTTGTTTTGACCGCAGTTAGGAATGAGGACTTGGCTGCTAGGAAAAACGGAGCGGCTTTTGCATGTGCTCCAAAATAGCAGACGATCTCCGCGCGAACATTCCTTTTTCATAGGAATCTCATATGAAGAGATATGATCAGCCATATGGTGAAGTGCCTCTATACAAAGACCTTCATTAATTTGTTTTTTTTCTAAGCAAAAATCATGACCGATTGGCAGAGAGAATTTCGGGACAATCCCTTGAAGAAATATTCCAATTCGACCAATTTGATTGAAAATGGGCCCTATTGAGCATGCCGTAGTGCCCCCAAAGAATTGTGAAGGCCTTTGGAAAGCAGAGTCGATGCGATATTTCTTCTGCGTAGAAAATGAATTACCATTGCGCATCCACGCTGTCTCACTAGCTCAATTGCAATTGTAAAATCCTTGTGGGTCGGTTTTAGGGCTGTTTTACTGACCAAGCTTTTAGAAGGCAGTAAGATGTTGTACAGCTTGCCACTATCGCACTTTTAGCAATTTTCGGGTTATTCCTCGGACATGGCTTGTTGAATTTAGTAATCAAACATAATTCGCCATACGATATTTGCCTCTTTTACATTCTCGAAGCCCCCCCCCCCCCTCATTATAAGACAACTCTACTAAATTTAGTTAGCGCCTTTTCAGTAGTAGTATATATTTGCATGCCACAGTCATCTTCTTCAACATCCTGGTCCGATGGGCATGCCCGGCAATTTTTCCGCATCGTGTCCCGATACTTACGTGATTATTGTCTCCAGCATGCGCCATATTAAAGGCTTGATTTGTCCTTATTAAAGGGCCGGATGTCGCCCTATTTCTCCTGATGGCATCTAAATGATCTGAGCGCGACCACTAAAGTGATTTGACGTGGACGACATGTCGTTGCTCATGTTAGTGGCGATTGTTTGTTTATTGGGGGTCAGCTGAGAGTATTTATGTTACCGGAATCGTAATGAAATCAGACCCAGCCGGGATTTTAACGCGATTGTATTCAGGGTTTAGGTGGTGCGGTCCTTCAAAAAGTATTTCCAGGTGAGTTTGACCTAATCGTGCTAATTTGTGATTCCACAGTATGAACAACAAATTTAATTACTCATACTGGTAATGACGTTTTTGTATCGGTCCCACAACCAAGAAAAAGTACAGTTGTGAAGTGCTTCTGCAAAGCTTCCATAGCTATGGATTCTCTGTGTCTTCCATTATCTCACTCCCTCTCTGGTGTTGACGTTAAAGAATTGTTTGTTCAAGAACAAGTACCATTACGATGATTGACACATGTATGTCCTCAAAGGCACGCCCGGCATTTTCTAAACCCACAAGGGCAACCGGCATTGATTTCGGACAATGCAGAGGGCACGAAAGTATTAGATTCTTCGAATTCAAAGAGAAAACATAAAGAAGGCTTTACATCATTAATTGGTCTAAAACATCATCAAGGCTCGGCTTTGCAATGGTTCCTCATTTCACTCAAGTCAACAAATTCTTCCATTTTTTTTTGGATAATTGGAGTAGCGCCTTATTAGCCGTGCCGGGATATCAACTAGTCCTGCATTTCACCTCGGCGACCACACATACATCTGGGGGCCCCAAATGTCACCGCTAGTCTTAACAGAAACTCATGGTATGTTACGTTTCGAGGAGGCAAATCCTTTCAGCTGTTCTCATTCGACGGTCTCACACCTGGAACATGGTTCGCTTTCCGGATACACTATCAGCTCTATTATGAGAATGCACAGCCAGGGCAACATGAACTAAAAACGAAGCAGGTGAGAGATTTCCATCGATACAATCATTTCAACGCAATAGAGCTAGAGTAGGGCCGTTAAGAAAGTTTCTGACAAACTGGTTGTCACATCACCTACGTCCTAAGAAGATCTGTCATTAGTCAAGGGAGGTGCAATCCCGGAAGATGGGGAATGTGCCTCCCTTGACCGATGGCAGACTTCCTAGGACGTAGGTCTACGAGTGGTGGTATCTTTTCAAGTGAATAAACTTTGTTGTTACTTGTTTACGTGTTGTTTACTTGTTTGTTTACCTTGTACTTCCTACGACTCTGAGTGACTAAAAGTTATAATTAAGGAAATCGTCGTGCGAACGAAGGAATCGCAGCACGAAGACCCAACCAAAATCAATGACAGCATCGCGTACATCGACGACATTTTCCTCACGAAGGACAACATCTACATTGGTGTGGCTTCCGTATTCAAGGACACTAAGAAGGTAAGAATCTTTCACGGTTCACTCAAGGTCCGGCTGAATTCGGAGCAAGGGTCTTTCTTAAATCCATTCAAATTGCAAGTGAGTGAGGTCCGACGACGAAAGCGAATGCTCGCTCATTTGACAATAGGATGATTCATGTTCTTGTAAGTGCTTCCAACGATAATGACTATCAGAAATTAGTAGTTGCTGCCAATGATGTAACTGGAAGTCACTGATGCCGTACTTTTTGGGGGAAGCGGGTTACTCTCCACCAAATCTATCAGTAAACAGGTGGCCTGGTATCGTCTATTATTCGAACTTTGACCAGCTTGTAGGATCTGACTGGCATCCATTATATGGTATTTTCTGCTGCTCCCTGACTAAGCATACTAGGAGATGAAGCCTCGGGAAGGAGCACTAGCTCACGACATGGCACCGAGTAGCGCGGGTTCCTCGATCAGATCTGTAAACGAACATCATCGCTCTGGAACTGATCGAAAGTGACTCAAAAAAGTAGTTGCCAAAGACGCGTTCAGCATTCCGTGACTCTCACCAGGCTCATACTTCTCCGCTCTAATCTCTGACACACAACGTGAATGGCCGTGGATCCCTCCACCAGTAGCACAACAGTGAAGTATACTTAGAGTCCACCGAAATCATTCTCAGTTCTTCTGTTAGTCAGCAATTGTAGCACGCAATAATAAAGGGAGCTAGTCATTGTAGTCCTAGATGTACTTCTCTAGGAGCTTTGAGCGTGACTACAAGTACAAACTCTTGAAAAAAAATTGAATTGAACAATAACACGAAAGAGGTTATACCCAAGAGTTCGTTACGGCCCCCATAATAGATCCGTTTCACTATTCTCCTTAGTCATGCAATATTTTAAAAGACAGATCAGTGTTTACAAAGTGATACATTCAAGAAAGGATTGGGTGCTTTAGCTTGGTTTTGAGGGTTAGGCTCACAATACGTACCGAGCTCGCGATACATTCTACATGGATGGAAGGTCCCTCAGCTTTCTTAACTTTCGAGACGGTTCCCTTATTGGGGATGCATGCGTAGGTTTGCTACTACGTATAAGCTTCATTTATAATATACGTGAGAAGGGTTTCTCAAAGTTAAGTTTTTTGGTTGAACTTTGTCGTTTAACTTTAAATACTGAGGTAACTATGCAGAATCGACGAGTGTATGACGAGTAATCCTGTGGATATACATACATACGCTATACTTTGATGTGCGATAGCCGTATTGTGTAGAAGGCAGTAGACATAACTTCCAGAACGCTTTTAGGAAGTAACACCGAACATTTAGTGAAACTATAAAACTTCATTAAAATAACACCGTAGTTTACTTCCCCAAAGTATTTCAACACCCGGTTATTTGGGAGACTTCGAATAAATAGTAATAAGATATACATAAGCATATACACACAATCTGGTGAATACCAAATGACTGACTATCGATAGCCGGGGACTCGATAATGTGAAATCACATTCATCAGGAGTTTGGTTAACGCATCAATGAGAGTGGATATCTCATTGGGACGGTGTGTAAGCCCATCTATCGCATCAGGACTCCCGTTCCATAGAGAATAGTTCCCGACCACCAGGGACTGTTCAGCAGGTAAGGGGATATGGCACTACTATCCCCCTTCAGAAGAGCCATTCTGTAGATTTTGGAACCATCATGATTAAGAGCCTTGATATACACATTTAGCCGTCTTGTACCTTTTCTATTCCTCCTTTCTGTTTGTCGAGAGCTACCAACATCGTCGGCCCAAAACTGGTTTATTACCGGCTATTATTTGCCGGAAATACATAAAGTTTGTCGTTTGTCCGCCTTATTACTTATTCAAAAAATGTCTACCGGAAGGACAAATCCCATCATAGAATTCGATTGCAGCAGATCTGACAAGTTTGCAATCAACATTTTATTGTGTTTCATGGTCGTGTTGCGTGTTGCTTATTACCATCAATAGGCCTCTCCAGGGTATTATTAAGATGTCATGTTCATATTGGAGAACCATAGGGAAGGATTATCATAATCTTCTCACAAAATGACAGGAGAGGGAGAGAAATGATTATGGCGTTTACCATTGAGACGACCATTCAGAAAACATTTGATTCAGAATCGGCTTATGTTTAATTTATGATTTTCACGCTGGTTTCACAAAGAATAGATATTCTTCAAACTTAACACAAACTCTCATCAGAAATGTTGATTCATCATCTTCTGGTCCTGGCCAACATTTGTAAGGGCACATTAAAACCACAGAAATGGAGGACAAGGCGCTTCCATGCTGGAGGTTCAAGCTCAAGCAGCTTATATTCAAATTTGAAAGCAATCAGAACCATCAAGACATGGTCACAGTGATTCGAGAAATGTGGGCAGACGAATGATGAGGTGATGGTTCTGCTACAGTTCAGAATAAGAGATAAAGTTCTTGGCGTCAATCAAACCCATCTGAGGGATGCGCCCCGCACAATAGTAGTGGCCTTATGAGTGCGTATGTGGCCTATACAATGACTTGCGGTGGCCAACCGATGTGCAAGTCAGTGCTTTCATCTTCCCAGACGACTCTGGTACCAATTAACCGACCCCGGAAGGATGGAAGGCTTGGTTGGACGAGGCAGATATCGATTTGGATTTCGCTCAGCCTCAGCTCAGTCAGCATAGATAAACTTCCTCAGTGTTTTGTAATTTATAGAGTTTAGGTGGGTTCCATTGATAGGAATTATTTGCAGGTGATTACAGTAATTGTGCCGGAATTGCGTTGTTCGAAAGGAGTGCTGAAACCACTAGCACAACAAGTAAGTCGGTTTTTTTGCCACTTCGATATTTTGGGAAGATCAAGGAACTTATGCCACAGGCCAGTTGCACCAAGAGCCTCAATCACTCCCCTATTCCAACTAGCTCTTTTCAGAAAGGTTCGAGTGAGCACGAACAGCTCTGTAGTGTATGTACCCTTATGATTGTGGGTTTCAGGTGAATCACCATGCTTCATTTCACTTCGATTTAACACCGTTAGGAGACTCGAACAGGACTTGCTCAAGAATTTGTGTCTTTCCATTTCTTCGGGTTGCCATTCAAAATCGAACTAGCGAGACATTTCGTGGCAAGGAATGGTGTGGCAGTATCGACGAAGCACGGCAACTCGTCTCCAGTGAGGCCGTCCTGCAGGGATTGGGTTGGCTTGTCAGCTCCCTTCTGCTGTGTTCGTTACTTTCATCTACAGCCTTCTAGACTGTTCGTCATCCAGCCACTTCTTATTTATTGCCTTGAAGTTAATGTGGGCCCACCCTTCACTGCAGTAATTTAAGTAGTAGTCATATGTGTTGCTAAAATGTTTGCTCACAATATTGGCCTGTAACGGATGGCTGAAAAGTGTTCAGTGCCAATGATTCTCTCAGGTTCCTTTTTGTCAGATGTTAAAATCTCACTGTAGTATGTTGCTTCTTTGCTCCCATTCTTCCATATGTCTCCCTGTTATGCATTTATTTATTCCCGAAGTAAGGAAAGTGGCCATACATGACGAGATGTTGTCATTGTTTTTTCGTAAAATTTATTTTAACCCAGGTTCCGGTGTATATATCGTAATAGGTGTAGGTTCCCTTTCACCTCTAGTCAGTTACTCTTTCTCTTTGTTCATTTTCTAGAAGTTTGTCGGATTCTACCATTTGTACAGATTTTTTTCTGCGTTTGAAGTTTAAAGTAATTCTCAGCTGCCTTACAAGGTCAAATTATAGTACCATCAAACCTTCGCCAAGAGCATTGAGGAAATCTGTAATAGTACAGCCATCAAGTAATTAAGAGTTTTCTTTCAATCAATTACATAACTCACCACCACTGTATTTGGTGCTTACTCGACTCAAAGGAGCAAATTGCGCGACCAAGTATTGTGTTGGTTTTCTATTTTGGTAATTTACGATTAATTTCATCGCAAAATTCGAAAGAAGGCTGATGAATTGTTAGGGTAGAATCAATTCTTCTTCTCCCATTAAAGGCACCGTTCACGATGAAAATGGTTTCTGAGATCCCCACAGGATGAATTTGAGGCCCCGCGTATACCGTATTTGGAACTATTATATAAGGTCTTGAAACGGCCTAGTTAGGGAGTTATAAGGCTCATAGATTGACCTTGCGTATCCTCGGACGAGTTTCACAGGCAATGTAGAGGCTGCACCGATCAGATGTGGTCAGCTCTTTACGAAATTGCAATAACTGGAATCTCGTCCGAATACCCCTTCCATGTTATTTCCGTCATGGCAATCTCCTCCAAACTCTATTTTCCCTACCTTTGAGAGCCACCTTTTTCTCAGAATCGTCGAATTCTCTCCCTTTCTTCACTACCGATGAACTATTCATAATCTATACTACCTCCTATAATCTTACTTTCTAGAAAAAAACGGGCACCTCAAAATTATCGCGAACTGTGCCTTGTTGCAAAATGGTCGATCTGGTCGGCCGATTGCGATGTCCTGACGTCTCCCGGTAGGTTATGTATGCGCATTCGAATGTGCAGTGTCCTTTTATCGTGTTTCTATGGAAAGTTCCATTAAATCTTGGGAGAACCCAGACTATTGTGTTAATTCGAGCAGGTACTTTCAGCAAAACATAATAAATGCTGAACGCTGAGCGCATCTTCACAAACTGAATTCCGGCACTAACGAAAATTTTATACCATTTGACCTTTGATTGCTGCCTCTTGTCCAACTTCAGGAGATGTGAAGAGAAAAAGTCTATGAGAATTTGGTATGGAAGAGCTGGCCAACCAGGTTTAGCCGTCAACGACTATTCTTCTAATACCGTACGTTCGAGTATGAGTCCGCCCTTCGGCGTGAGTATTCTTCACAGAAGTAAATATGGTTTCAGGGGAAGATAATTATAGGAGCACAAGAAATGCATCCGGCCAGAAAACGTCGCAATTGAATAGTGAGTTCAAAAATCAAATAAAGCGCTATTTCCGTTTATGTTTCTCCGAAAGAATAATGTCCCGAGATTATTCATATTAATCCAAGTGGGTTCAAGGAATTCGTGAAGATAGACTCAACAAAGCTAACAACAGCAATAAGAACAAATGTCCCAGTAGTACAACTCGAAGAGCACGAAACAACCACAGAAATATTTCTACAGGCACCCGCTTCCGAACTCCTTTCTCAACTGCTCGACATTGCGAATATCAGTGAAGAGGCAGAAAAGAAGACTAACACATGGCGTAAGGTCTAATACTACCGGAATCATCCTCTCCTCCGCGCTCCGCTGTTGAGCTTTCCCCATTTCAAATATATTAATACTCGGATGTCACATGCAACTATTGTAATGTGAGGTCTAATAGGTCTGAAGAAGGTCTCAATGTTGAAAATCAACTATGAGGACGTTCAAATTTCTGAAGCAGCGCTCAGCATAGGATAAAGCTCAGGGATAACTACTGTATGGTGTACTCGTCAGACTGTTCTTCTGTAGTACACACCCAACCATTTTTTATTCCACACAACCGAACTCAAACAGATATTACAACTCGCGCCTTCCGGTCGAACTTGGCAGCAACCTCCTATCCATACATCAGTGAAGCATAACCTGAACTGGCACGTAAAATCAATCCAACTATGTACTTAAGCAACTAACTGACTGACAAATGTCTCCTTCAACGATAACTACAAAACCACCAATTTCAGCACATCGTACGGTTGTTTTCGAGTAATGTTGTGTGTACTTCTCAACCTGTCATGTGGTGACTTCATCAAAAAGCTCTACCAGTCAGAAGTACCACGGCACCTGCTATCTATCAGCTCCACCGACAGCAAGAATGACTAGAGCATAACTTTAAATCAACTTACTTACTTGGAACTTGTTGAGCAATAAGTGACACATAAGAAACTGACAGTTAATTGAATCAAAGCAAAATACGGCTCGTTTTGCCTCTGTACCAGGCGAACCAACCTCTACACCTTCCCCTGAGGTTCATCAGTGGTTTAGGATTAGTGGACGAATTAATGGGTAAAATGCATAGTTCAATGTAAATAATAAGTTGTACTACTGACAGAGCCTATTACTGAAAATTTTCACGATTCCTTTAACATTTTTGGTGATCTTAGTGAGATTATTTATGATAGAATACTTATATCAAATAAGTCCATTTCTACATATGCTTAAAACTATGTTGGAGTTATAAATTCTTTCATTCTTTTTAATATCCAATTCTCAAGAGAATATTCATCATTTCCTGTTAGACGTATCAATTCTAGAGCTCGTGTTGACCATCCTCTATGTTTCTGCGTATATAACAGAGGCTTCATGGATGTTAGAAGTACTAATATCTCTATGAGATAATCACATGACACTAAAGTCAAAATTACCATCGTTGCTCACCATTATACTTCACCACTGAGCAGGTCAGCGACCCTATCCCTCAAGAACTGGGAAGATTGCGAGTGAAGGAAGTTGGCGACCGTCTGAGTTGCTACATCAATTTCCTGGAAGCTTTCCTAGCCGAGGAAGCTTCTCTGATGTGGAACAACTGATAATCGGAGGGGGCTATGTCAGGAGAATGAAGAGAATGATGTACGCTTCTCCGGCCTAGTTCCTCGATTTTCTGGTAGCGATCTATAATTACATGGGGTCGGGCGCTATCATAAAGGAGGAATTGATTTCGTTCCAACAGTTTTCCCCTTCTGTTTCCTTCAGCAACTTTCTGAAGCTGAGTGGTGTAAAGGAAAACGAAGACCGCGTGCCCTTGCGAGAGCAGCTTATAGTACAGCATTTCTCAAGCATAGAAGAACCTTCTGAGAGTGCATGTCTGGTTCTGCTGCATGCGCTTTTTGAAGATGTTTATTTATTTGATACACCAAAGGGTGTGCCATACAACACAAAAACAGGAACTGAATGGCGATGGTCCTCTGAACACGAAAAGAAAAAAAAACATCAACCTGAGAAAAATTGAGGATAAAGCCAGAGCTGAAACGTGACACACGCCTTGCTAGAGGAAAGGGATGTGATTGCGAGAAGAAGAAGAGAGAGGTGTGATCGCGAGAAGGAGAGAGAAGGAAGCAAGAAACTCGCATAAAGGAGCATTCCTAGAATGATGCTAGAACCTTTCTCATATGTACAGAAAGGCTTTTTCCCCTGTGAAAAAGGCTTCTTCAAGTTAAACTGGCCCAAAGCCCAATACGCATAGAGTAGCAAGAATACTAGGGTCTGCTGAACACCAACGCTCGGTACGAACAAATTCGAATTGAAACCACAATTGAGTGGACGAAGAGGGACTGAAGGCAGAAGGGTGAAGGGGTAATCGTCTCACAGGATCCTCAAACAGGCCTCAACATCATCATCATCGGAAGCATACTACACGGAGCCGGCTTCTTGCCTCGCAGCAAGAGAAAGGAAAACAGTAAAAACCCTGGCGGATCAATCAAATGAAACAAGCTATCTAAACAAAGTAGGAACATAAACAGCTATTACAAACGAAAATGCTGCTAAGAGTATGAAAAAGCGGTTAGGAAAATTGGACGACGACGATTCCACGAATCAGTAGAAACAACAAGTAATATATCCAGAGAGGCAAACAGAGAAATGGGCATTAGTAATCTAGAACCAAAGCTGGACGCGAGACGTCGGAGACATGTATCATAAAAAAGGAAGGCAGCCGCAAAAGGGAATCGAAATGCCGGGGAGTCAGTAGTAATCGTCAAGTGTGTTCTGGAATACCTAAGACGCCCAAGAGATCGAGCTTGCTCAGTTTACTTTTGAATATCTTACTGTTTGGTGATTGAACAACATGGGGCGGAAGAAGCTCGAACCATCTAGCGCAATGATCAAAAAGATTATTGAACATTAAAGTATAGCTCTTGGATTGAATGAGCGGATAGTGTGAATTAAACCCGCCTAACCTTTCACTAGCAGGTCTGAGAATCCAGTACTTACTCGCTGAAAATCTCACCTCCTTCTGAAGGACGCGAAAATGGAACACTAAATCAGACATTACTCGTCGATACTGCAATGAATTGAGAGGTAGCAATTTCAACCGATCACGATACGGCAGTATGCTTGCAGCAAGCCAGGTGCTGTACCAAAGCAGTCGAGTCGAGTGATGAACTCGTTCAAACTTTTATATATCGTTTTTGAGACTAGGGCCCCATACATACGAGCAATACTCTGAGTGGGGCAGTACCTATGCTTTGTAGAGACGCAGCAGTTAAGGTGAATCGGAACAACTCGTATTTCTCATTATCGGAAATAGGGCCGCAAAAGCTTTCTTAACGGCACTGTCAATGTAACTAGAAAACGTCAAGCTAGTATCAAAAATAACCCCCAAATCTTTAGTAGATCTCGTTCTTGAAAGGGTTATGCCATTCACTACGTAGTCACTTCCTGCAGAATTGCCGAAGTGCATCACTAAATATTTATTGAGGTTTAAGGGAATATCCCATAAGGAAGCCCATTCACTCATTTTCTCCATAGACAGTCTAAGCGCTTGCTGCACTACTCCACTGCTCATATCACCATAAGCAGCATATACTTTGTTATCATCGGCATAAATTTGGAGTGGGCCTCTCCACAAGTTCTGAGAAGCTGAGGCACTCCAACGGTGTAAACCAAAAAGAGCATTGGAGACAGAACTCCACCCTGCGGAACGTCACTGGTACAAGCGTAGCTACAAGAGAAGCTACTGCCGACACGGACAGTGAAACTCCTCTCGGAAAGATATGACTTATCCACTTAAGGGCGTTCCCTCGAATACCGTAGCGCTCCAACTTACTGATCAGAATGGGATAACAAACTTTATCGAAAGCCTCCGAATGGTCAAAGTGGGTGAAATATACGGATTTGCCATAGTTGATAGCCCGGCAAACATCATAAAATGTATCGAGTAGATTAGTCCAGGTAGAGTCCCCAGGGAGAAAAACATGCTGCTCTTCAGGCATTAGGTGGAATTTTCCAAAGCACGCGAAAAGCTTATCAAACATCATCTTCTCCATCACCTTAGCGGCAGTGGATGGGAGGCTAATAAGCCTGTAGTCGTTAAGTCTAGTGGCTCCTAACTGTTTAGGGATGGCAGCCACAATGGCACTTTTCCAAAGCCTGGGAACCTTTCCTAGAAGAAACGATATGTTGAACAAGTGAGCAAGTGGTTTGCATAAAGAATTATAGCACTTCCTAAAAAGAGTTCGAAAGGCTCACTAGCGGAAGGTTTAGGTTTTTTTAATGCAGTACGAACATCAGTTGGGTTGAAAAAAATATTAGGAGTATTAGTTCGAAGATTAATTGAACTATAATCCATCAAACTTGGGGATGAACTGAGTCCCAAGAAAACACTCGCAAAATATCTTCCCAAGGACTCCGCTCTAGCATAGTCACTATGGAGCCTGGTACCGTTCTTATCTTCTAGAACATGTAAGCCTGGCTTCCATTTAAGTTGTCTGCGAAGAAAGATGTGGAGACGCTTCGTGAAGATTGATCCTCGAGGCGACAGTCAAAACGAGACAGAAACTTCTTCAGATGGCGGTCAAGGTCAGAGCAGACCTTTCGACAGAGAGGAGAGTTCGCGGAGAGTCCAAATCTCGGAATAGTCTTTCCTTCTGTGTCAGCAACATTTTAATGTGTTGTATGTTGGATTAGACGGGAATTAGGGAATTTGGAATTTAATCGGAATAAATCTTGTAAGAGCGTCATAGATTACCGTGCAGAACCTCTGGTACAGATCGTCGACGGAACTGTACCTGTCGGAAAGCATCAGCCAGCCAAGTCCTAAAAAATACTCCTCAAGGGTTTCATAGTCAACGCCCAGAAAATCAGTGGAGGGGAGGTTATTGGCCACTCCAAACTCTTCCATCACGTTGAAGCTAATGGAAGCATGATCAGAGTTTGTCAGCGGCGCTGTAATCGAGACGTCACGTATGTTGGAAACGGTGGATAAGATTAAATCAAGAGTATTATTGCCATGTGTTGGTGCGAAGACGAACTGCTCTAAGCCAACTTCTTGAAAAAAAACTCCAAAAAGCTGGATGAGGCTTAATCAAAAGCAAGCAGGTTCATCCAATCTATCGCTAAATTGAAATCGCCTAGAATAACACAGTTGATCTCAGTCGAGACAACGTCACGAAGCAGCTCGATAAACTCATCGTCCTCCTTTCTGTTTGAATTAGGCGGTATGTGCGGAAGTGTAGAGCGAACTCGCGAAACATTCGTAAGAGAAAAGAGTTCAAAACAAAGGACTTCAGCTTTCGTGGCCGAACTTATTGCAATGGGATGACTATGAAGCTTACCTTTGACTAAGCAGCACACCCCACCTCCTCTACCATCTTTCCGTTCCAATCGATGTAACAAGTACGGGAACGCAGCTACAACCTCGGAATCGAGAATGTTCGAAGTTAGCCATGCCTCAGTTACAAAACGCAAATCAGGAAGTTTTTGGCTTATAAGGGCGTGTAGGTGATCTATCTTATTACAAAGACTACGAGCGTTTAGTAATTGACAAGAAAGCACAGAATTACCATGCAGCGTAAGTGGTTTCCCGACCGTCTGTGTGGCAATTCGGAAGCTCGCTTGAGTTGGCCTTGATGAACAACCCAATCACGAGAGCCACTACCCTTATTACGCTCCCGAGCTTCTTGTCGTAGCTCATATTCCCGTTTCTTCTCATCCTCAGTCATGCTCCGACGCAAGAAAACATTCGGCAGCCCAGCTTCTCGTAGTAGACGTGCACTGGCGATGACACGGCGCCAATGCAATCGAGATGGTAAGACCACTTTGACAAGGATAGGGCGTTTCGGTTTCGGCTCACCCATGCAATACATTTCAACCGGGCGGCACTCCACATCCAATGCATCCAAAACCCTGAAAACTTCAAGATCCCTTTGACGCACTGATGGCTGAAGACCACCCTGCCCGTCCTCCAAGCCTGAGATGACTATGCTACGGCCCCGTTTGTCGCTCTCAAGGAGATCTGAGAAATCCATTGGGATCTTCTCCGAAAGGGCAATAAGCATATTTTCTATGGCTGGATCGTGGTTGAGTACAATTATGCTCTTTAAAAGCTCCATCTTCGACATATTTTGGAAATTTCCGCCACAAGATTGGCGGTCTGTGTGCCTCCTTTGCTAGTCGAGCTTGATGGTGGCTGAGAACTGCTCAACGAAGCTTTCTTAGAGCGCTGCTGTTTGGATGGCATCTTTCTTGACCTTTGATCTGCCCTATATTGAGTCCACTGAGTCAATAATTCGAGTAGTGGGCAACTAAGGAGGGATGAAAAAAATACTACAGACAAAAAACTATTAAGAAAAACCAGGCAAAAGCTGCAAAACTAAACTGCGAATAAAAAGTTTGAAGCCTTAGAAACGATCTAGAGATTGAAAATAAGATGTAATCTCAGAAAACAATTAATAGAATAAAAACTCACGAACGGACGGCAGAAACGCGACCGCGTCAGGCGACCTCAACGGTTGAGCGATGAGAGCACACGGTTTCCTCCCTGGAGCCTCTTCCTGTACTAATCTCTTGTTTTACGCGTTCACTTTGCCTGCTACACGCTTTTATACTTCTTATGCAACTCAATACGCGAGACTTCCTCAAATGCTAACAATTAAGTAAGAAATATTCAAATGTTCAAATCAGAGGACGCGTGTTAATCATAGAATGATGAATGAAATGAAGAGCGAATACTTCACACGATGGTGGAAAATCCCTCTCACGTTCCCGCCCTTTAATATGTAGTCAGTGCGCGCACGATCGTGGCGCTCGATCTCTTCTCGCGCGGGAATAAATTGAAACGGCTTGACGCCGCTGCCAGCGACAATGACTTAATAGGAACATACTGAAGAAATGAGAGGTAATTGAAACAACGGAAGAATAAATGTGAAATTATTGATCGATTATATTAGATTATACTACCTTCCAACTTACTGTAGTCTCTCATATGCTCTCATGTTCAGGTCCATCGATGACAATTGTCCTTCCAGCTCAAATAGTCCTCTTATGCGTTCTCCAATTGTCTTCGTGCTTCTCTTTCTGCCTGGGGTGTCACACAGAGCTGGCTTACGACCGTATTCGGGAACGAGATACTCAAAGTAAATACCTGATACGCGATAATTCTAGTAAGAACCTTTCTTTTCAGATACACACAGTGCTGTCAGCATTCTTTCTCGAAGTCTATCTTCCATCTCCGATTTCCATTTGTAATTGAGGGATATAAACCGGAGAAATGTCCTCCCTCCACATCGCAAAACGCGCATGCCACTTTACTCTTTATTCTAGGAGAACGTTACTCTCCCTTTCTGTAGGGAAAGCTTTGGAAATCCGTTTCCATCCAGTAAATCCTGTGCTTCATATCGACCGTGAGCTTCCTATGCTCTCTTTTCCTTTGATCGTAACTCCTTTGTCTCGAATTTGATTATTTCTGCGCGTGCCGTTCTCGCGCGCGGTCGGTGTTCTGCCTGCTCTGCTCCTGTCTATTTCTGACTCACTGTGGAGCTAGTTAAATATTCTGTCTACGATTCTGTCTTCTATATCTGCGACTCCGGAGCATTGCGAGCACCCTTGTAGCTGAGATCAAGTCAAGAACTTCTGTGAAAGCCTCCTAATCAGGTCATTTCGTTAAGGATTTTTATCTCTGTCAATAATTGAAGGTTGCTTCGATTGATCGTCGTGCGTTACTTGGCCTACGGCGTCGCTCATTTCCTTGTGGCAGGAAAATACTTTTTTCTTCAAGGAGTCTCTTGCCACCTTATTAGGTTGTTCATATTATGAGTGAAGGTAACTCTTTCACTCCCTTTGGCCTCTCATATTCAGGACCGGCCCAACGAAAGGAAGCAACCATGCCATTCTCTGGCTGGCTTGTGTGGATCACCTGCCGCGGCAATCAATAGCCTCTCTTCAGACGAAACCCTCTCTCCATACGTCAAAGTTATACTGGCGCATCTGTTGGAGAAGAGTACCGTAACTGAGGATTACTACAACGAAATCATCACTTGAAGGATGAACGTGTGTTCAGAAAGCTGAAAACGAACGTCTCAAAGAGAAGATCGATTCGTTGAAGAAGGCTTTGGATAAGGAAAATGATCCGTCCCGCTTTGTCCTCTAATAGTGTTCTTTCTGATAACCATGCTGTTCACTTATCCTCAGATGCCCATGTTATTACGAGAATTGTATCGTTCGTCTCAACTGAATGTATACCTATCTCTTTCTTTCGCATAGGTAGTCCGAACCGCCCGCGTTCACTCGAAGTGGTTCACGCTACCTCATTTTTCCCACGACAACTACTTCCTGTTGTTCTGTTGAAACATTTTTCCATGAAAGATGTTTATATTAGGCCACCATTATTATCATTACGCAGCGTTGATGCTTTGCAAGTGAACCGAAATCTTTCTTTGCAGGGCTATGACTACTTCAATTCTAACTTCGAGTAAACGCAACAAACACTTTGACTAAACTGTTCTCTGTCTTATGAAGCAATTTTTACTGAAAAAATCGTAAACTCTAAAAGAGAATCGCAGTGATTGCCTACCCTGAAGGAATCACTCTAACGCTGATTGCATCGCATAGTACAAGTACAATGGAATCTTAACAAACGATCGTGCAATGATTACTAGTAACTCAAGAATTGATTGAAATATGATCAGAGCTGATACAGACAACAAAGCAAGTTAACGTGGAGAAAGGAATATCTGGACAGTTCAAGTCACGTAAAGTATCCATGAAACAAAACACTAAAACTGAGTATACCTTCGGGCATCGAAACGAATTTGTATAATCGTAGCTGTCGAGTGCGGTGCGCACTCTAGGCGGCTATGTGCTGTTCTGTATGCTGAACAGCGTGATATCCTGGCGTCTCCCATGGTCTTGCCAGGTGACAAGCCGCGACCGACAACAATTTATTAAGCAACACAATGAATTAACAATTAAAAAAATGAAAAAGGGTCAGGGCTAGAATCCCTTGGGACTCTAGGAAGTCAAGGGGGTGCAGTTGGCTGGTGATCGGCCTTTTATACGGTACGTCCCGCCCGACCAAGACAACCCCGCGTGAAAAGTGATCTTTCTGCAAGGCGGTGCCGTACCATGTGACTTGCCGTTCTGCCATGATCTCACATGCCTCCCCCGCTGCATAGGCTGCTTCACTCAGGCTCTGGGATTATATCGCTTCGATGAACGATTCCTTTGCCCGTCGAAATTTGTGTTGTGGTAGTGTTCACCATAACATTTGAAGATATCTCCGTGAGTTACGGAGGGGTGGCTGACGCAGCGACGATTTGCTGGTTTGAAGCGATTTTCCCTTCTATAGCCGCACTGTAAAAGCTTTGCTTTTTTCGCATGTGAGCCCTCACATGCATTGCGTGTCCATGTAGAGCGGTCACTCTTGGTTCGACTTTCCGCCTTTGTCTGTATGCTATAATACGGAGTCAACCTCAAGTGAGCATAAAATTTGCGAGTGGCTTCGTAGAACGCTTTCTCTTCGCTCGCCGAGCATGTATGTGAGTGTGATCCAGAATTGTTCACCAAGATTTCACCAAGATATTGCAGGGGTGATGAGGAGAATCCCCTCGGCTTTTGTCATAAGTAGACATTCGATTCGTGCACCCAGTTAAGGAAGTTGTGCAATCGTTTCCTCACATATGTCCCTCAATTCGTCCGTCGCTTTTGGCCATTGAGCTTTGTCTCGGGGGGGGGGGGTCCCCCAGAACGAAGAGCTCTACGCCATCTTAGACCATACCCAGCATAAGCTGCCACGCCTCGGCCCATGCTGCGGTGGCGAACGCTTGGAAGACTGAACAACACCACAGCGGAATTGAATATATGTGTTCCTTGAAATCGCACGGTAACTGTACCATCGTCTTTTTAGGAGGCAGCTTCTTCCATAAAGTTCCAGTGCAATGATGTGCACGAGCCCAGTTACCCGCATAGTCAAAAAGGCTCGGTAAGTCATATGGATCGCCAGGAAAGCGAGTTGGATGTGTCCCTCAGATTTGGTGCTATGTAGCGTATCTCGTCCGCATGCTCTGCATCACGTGCAGACGTTTCGCCGCCGAGAAGAAAGAAATGGCGAATCCGAGTCCACTTGGCGATAAGGCGTCGTATTCCGGGTCCAAGATACGGGCCGTTTGCACCTCCGAAGATATGTGTGTTTGCGACATGATTGTGGCCACTCGAGCTAGCTTGAGTACGAATCAAATGTGAGGCCGTCTATTGGGGAATTCCGCATCCCTCTCATCTCATGCCACGTCATATTCGTGGAACAAGGAAGCCGTTCTCCATCGATTGAGAGTTCTCCTAGGCAAATAAAATCAACGTGTAGCGGGTTCATTTTTGTGATCGAAGACTCTCTGAAAATAAACTTTGCGAATCATGTTGCAGTGATTAGACGCCGACTTGTTTCTTCGACTATATCGAGTGCGGAATCCTTTCGTTCCGAGGAGAGTATCGTCAATTACGGATGGTATTTTTATCAGACGATCCCACTGTACTCTCACTGGTTCCTTGTTTTGGCCTATCAAAGTCACTACGATCGAGTTTGCGCTACTCTCAATTACTCTATACGGCCCCGACCAATCAGTGGTCAATTTTGGTTGGAATACCTTTCCTTTCTCAGATGGGATCTTTACGTAGACACGATCTCCTTTCTTGATAAGTGCCGCCGTATGAGTTCTGAACCTTCTGTCGTACTGCTCCTTCATCTTCTTACGGTATTCCTCTAAGTTAAAAATAATGCATTCCCAGCTTCAACCCCGATAAAAACTCGGTTTTATAGTAATCGTAGTCCACCGTACAGGCTGAAAGGTGCTCTCTAGGTATGACTTGTGATGGATACTTGGGGCCCTTGGGAAGAGGAGAAAATGGGGACTCTCTCCGGTTGCTTCATGCGGGCATGCATTGTAGGCATAAACGACAGTAGGGAGGTGAACATCCCATTCTGCTGGCACCACTGTTTTCTTCTTCAACATGCGAATAATGGTTCCGTTTACCCTCTCAGTTATTTCATTTTCTCTGGGGCAATAACCCTTGGTGACCTGTCGCTTAATGCCCATTATTTCTCATAAAGCGGTAACGACAGAGTTCTCGAATTCAGAGTACTGTTTCTTGCCATCTTCCTGCGCCGAAAATCCAGTGACTGAAAAGAACTTCTGCCACTGTTTCTGCTCTTTTGTCTGGCACTGCGTAGGCCCCAGGATATTTCGTGAAAGGTCTATTATCGTGACTATGTATTTATTCCCGCGACTTAATAAGCCAACATCTCGAGCAAGTCAATACCAACTATTTCGAGCGGCCTAGAAACTACAACCGGCTTTAGCGGAGGAGTATTGACCTTATGTGTGCTATGCGCAAAGCACTTTTGGCATTTTTGGGACCATTTTGCAATGTCCTGTCTTATCCTTGGCCAATACGCTACTTTTTCAAGCTATGACATTTTCCTAACATTGAAATGTACACCCATAGTTCCATGAATCGCTTCTGTAAAAAGTTTGCGTCTTTTGCTCCGGGGTATGACGTTCACCCTGGAGCCGTTCTCCCGAATAAGACGTAGTCTTCCATCACTGATTTCAAAATCAACTAAATTAATGGAAAAGTTCTAGTCAGTGTTAGTATCTTTGGAGATAGAGAGTAAAGGACAAAGAATAAGGAACATAGGAAACAATACAAGATTCGTTTCACCTCTTACTCAAACGAATCATGTTTTTCGCTTAACCCTTGAGGATCTTCAGTGAGTGGGGTTAGCGAAGAATGGAGTAGGTGATAGTCAGATGGAATGGTAATACGGTTATGTAAACAAGATTAAAAAGAAAAAACCAAAAAAGGTATCAAAAAGTATATAGTAATGAGATAAGAACTAATGTGAGTAGAAAAGTTTGTGCTATAGTAGCCTAAAATTTCTAATGTGAAGAATACGTTATGAATGTTAGCAGAATGAGCGTACACATGAGTACTCAGTTAAAATAGAGCGCACTATATATTTATTGGCTATTACCTAATTGTTCCTCTATGAAGTTTAAGATAGTATTACGTTACATTAAGATCTAGTATGTAAAGAGTTTATTATTTCATTTACAAGCTTTTTAATAGTTTTATAATCATTATTAATGGCATATTTATAAGAGATAAACTTATTTTTATAGAAGCATTTTAGTAAATTAGCTAATATAAATTCTTTTTCGTAGTTATTATTTAGCAACACTTTGATAAGTATTTTAAGTTTGTCTGTGAAAGTTACAAGTTCACTACAAGTGTTTGCTATTCTGAGCGTTTCGGTATAAATGACTGACCCTTTATTCTTCTTGGAGATATTAGATGTAGCATGGGGAAATCTGATTACTTTAAATTTGAAGTCGTCAGTTTTGTTATAAATTTTTGTAATAATTTTATTGCTACCTATTGTGATTACCAAGTCTAGGTAGTTGCTAGTAGTTTCACTCATATCTGTTGTTTGTAATAATAGCGCATTTTTATATACTTTATACAGTTCTGTGTTTATATAATCATCCGAATAATTGTGTATTACTAATAGGTCGTCCATATACCTGAAGGGGATGAATACTTTATTTTTAACCCTCATGGTATTCTTGGCATAACTGAACTCCATAATGCAAAGAGTAAGGTCAGCCAGTAAAGGGCTGAAATTACCACCTTGAGGGACCCCATTCCTTTGTTTAAACACATATGTACCGAAGAGACAGAAGCTGTTTTCCAACAAATATTGTACTAGATATAGCAAATCCTGATTTCGACCTATAGTTATGTTTAGGTTTTATTATATCTGTATAGAAGACATGATATCCATTAGTAGCAATCATAGCTTTACTAGAATTATTAAAACATATATTTAGGAGTGTTCTTACACTACATAAAATATCAGTATGTTTCAAATTGGTAAACATATCGGTAAAATCTGCAGTGTATATTTTGAGGTTATTACCCTTAATATTGATTAACTCGTGACTGATATTAGTATTATTAATAGACCAAAAGGTTTTTATACAATCACTGCGCTCTTGTACTATATTAGTATAATTAATAAAATGTCTTTTGAGATAACTAAAGATGTTATGTAATTCAATGGAAATAGGTTTAAGGTTACTATGTGAAGCACCAGTAATAAACCTGAACTTCACAGGACTTTTATGTAACTTTGGTAACGCATATATTCTAGGTAAATCTATTTTGCTGTTAACTGTAATGTTGTTACCCTTACCTCATTTTTATTACCATCTTCAATATATTGGTAAGTTTGATTGCCTTCCGTACTTAATAACAAGCCAGTAACGCAATCAAACTTTATTCCCATTTCTTTCATTAAAATAATCAAATAGTACTTAAGTCAACTTTCTACCGTGATGCCTAATTGGGATGTCATCTTCCTTGCGCACTTCTATTGAGTCAATTATCGACTCAAAATCTTCGTCACTTCTCAGTTCCTGGAGCCAGTCAGAATCTCTTACGAGTGCCACTACTTCCTCGTCGGCATGTTTAGCTTTACCCACGTCATGCTCTGATACAGCCCCTCTCGAAAGGGCGTCTGCCACGTTATTCGCTGCGCCTTTTACGCAGTGAAAAAGTTCCACTATTTCATTTACGGAGTGCATACCATCGTAAGAAACGATCATAGCGCCTTGACTTCGCTATTCGAGCGTGCTAACGTGTCACCGAGAATAGTGAGATGCGCTCTAGAAATTCAGCGATACGATCTGCAAATCGAGGGACTTTAGGTACTGTTTTTTTCTGTTGACTATGCATATCGTCAAATCTAAATGCACCGGCTTGAAATGTGTAAAATTGTTGCTAAGAACTCCAAAGAAGCTGTATAGTCAAATAGTTACCACGAAAAATAACCTTTCTTCATTCTAATCATATATTGTCAGCAGAAGCATAGAAACTTCGGCCTCTCCCTAAAACTAGCTTTTTATGGGGTACGATCTATTGTGCTCCACAGTGTACTTCTCAAAAGAAGTGTTATTGAAATTCCTCAAATCCTCCCCCCAANCCCCCCCCCCCCCCCCTTGCCTGACCTGTCGTCACCTACAGTCGAAACAACCACCTTCACTTGCAGAAATCTTCAGAATCTCATGTGCAGCATGTTTTCGCGAAAAGCCGCTCAAAAAAGTTTTCTAACCTTCTTCGAAGCAATGCTCAACCTCATCTCGTTGAAACCTTCGAGCTGGGCTTGGACGGAATCGCAACCCTCTCCACGCTACTCCAGATCTCTTGCCTCTATTACCCAAGCGCACAAAGTCCTTCTTCGCCAGAAAAGTTCACTATTTCTAATGGCCTCGAGATTATATAATAGTTTTAAAAGAAAGGCTCCTTTTACTCCTGAAAGAAAGAAATAAAGACTAGTTCCTTCGCTGGCTGAAAGCAAAGACACTGATCGTGAAAGTTTCGCTAACAGAAGAATTCGTGAAGAAACTGGCGGTCAACCATACCGACGAACAAATTCTGAGTCTTTTCGATCGATGCCAGGCTGTTCCTTATTTGATCAACCTTACAAGGCGACAAGATAACGAAAACCGTCCCCGATAGAAACTGACAAACCTGATAGGGACACAAAAACAAAAGAATTTTCAAGACCCACCACAATAGGTCAGAAATGATCCACAAACAATATCAAGTTTATTGTGATCATAACAACCGCGCCTCTCTTCCAGCTAACTCCTCAATCATTATCTCCAGTAATTTTTGAAAACCGCTCACAGGCACCTCCAGTGATCATTTCTTTCATTCCTCTCATCCTTCGTTCGCCACAATATAACACGATGCAGGACATTATTATTGATCGAAACATCACCGATCGCATCTCATCACATTCGAAAAAAGGTTAGAATTATCAAAAATGTTCCATATTGCTCAAGTCTTTGTTAAAATTCACGAGACGACAGCGGTCCTTTGAAAAAGGAGCGGAATGTTTTAAAATATCACAAACTATAGCTTATGAAGTGTCACACTATAACTATACACATTCACTAACTTGATACCACTGTAAGTAAAACGCAGCACGTATAATCATATCGAGCCTATTTCGTAAAATGAGAAATCGAGTGCACTGAACAGTGTGCTACAAAGACAAACATTCACAAAAATGACGAGCTTCATTCCGCTTTCGCTCCTCCTCTAGGGTAATACTTCTCGAGGGTGCTCTCTGGGATTCGCTTCAACATTTCCCTGGGGAAAATACGAAGAAGTTGCCATCCGATGTCAAGCGATTCGAAAACGGTTCGATTCTCGTAGTTTCCTTAAACAAAGCACGATGAACATCAATGAAGAATTAAACGAACAACAAACTAACCTTGAGTGATAAAGTTCTTCTCAAATTTAACTAAGAATTCAAGGTATAACAGATCATCTGAAGATAAAGCTTCCTCTCCTACTACAGCCTTCATAGCTTGCACGTCTTTTCCGATGGCATAACAGGCGTACAGCTGAAAATAACAGGAAATCAGCGATTTCATAAACGAAATTTCAATGTAAATTGGGAGTAAACCAACCTGATTAGAGACATCAGAGTGATCTTCACGAGTCATCCCTTCTCCAATAGCAGATTTCATCAAACGAGAAAGTGAAGGCAACACGTTGATTGGTGGGTAAATCTTAAACATAACTTATCAGTCCAACGGAAAGGAACGATGAAGAATAAGGGAAATACGTAGAGCTCATAATGCCAACCTGTCTGTTGTGCAGTTGACGATCAACGTAAATTTGGCCTTCAGTAATGTAACCGGTAAGATCAGGAATAGGGTGAGTAATATCTAAACAAAACAGTGACATGATATAAGACAAAGAATGAAGAATAAAACTTACCGTCGTTCGGCATAGTTAAGATGGGGATTTGCGTGATGGAGCCGTCACGTCCCTCAACTCGACCTGCACGTTCATAGATAGTTGCCAAATCCGTGTACATGTAACCTGGGAAACCACGACGTCCCGGCACTTCCTCTCGAGCGGCAGATACCTTAAAGAGATCACTTCGCACAAAAAAAAACAGTTATACATAAGGGCAACCGCGGTCCTGCATGGAATGAAATTTTGACAATTCCTAGTCAGGAAGATAGGCCAAAAGGCGTTACACGCAGAATAGCCTAGGATTCACGCAAAGCCGGAATGATCGCAGAAGCCATTTGACATGGGCTTCATGCTGTCCACGTTTTCGACAGTACACAATAATGCCCTAAATGTACCTCACGAAGTGCTTCTGCGTAGGAAGACATGTCAGTGAGCACCACAAGCACGTGTTTCTCACATTGATAGGCGAAAAACTCTGCAGCAGTTAATGCAAGACGTGGGGTGATGATACGTTCAATTGTTGGATCATTGGCCAAGTTCAAGAACAAGCACACATTCTCCATTGATCCTAAAGAAATGGAAATTTAACAGCAGCTTCCGTCGAAATGAGTTACCCAACCATTTTCTTCGAAATCTTGCTTGAAGAAGCGAGCAGTTTCCATGTTAACTCCCATAGCAGCAAACACGATGGCAAAGTTGGAATCCGAAGCCTCGTGTTTGCGTTCAGGCAGCTGCACCAATCCTAAAGAATGATTGAACTCCTCTCAGTTTGATGGAACAACATTGAACCGCATACCTCCCTGACGCACAATCTGTGCAGCAATTTCGTTATGTGGCAAACCTGCGGCGGAGAAAATAGGGATTTTCTGAAAAAGAGAAAATAAAGGGTAAAACGGTCTAGTTTACTCATCACAAAGACTTATAACAGAACTTTCTTGAGCCGAACTTTGGTTAGAATAATATAAAAGAATTACCTGTCCTCTGGCGATTGAATTCATCACGTCGATAGCAGAAATACCAGTTTGAATCATTTCCTCAGGATAAATACGTGACCATGGATTGATGGGCTGGCCGTTGATGTCCAAGAAATCCTCAGCAAGCACTGGTGGTCCCTGAAACTTTTTCCTCAGGCAACAGTTAATAACGACAGATTCTTCTGTTTGAGCTTTCAAACTCCACAAAGCCTAAGTCTTAGCGCTCGATTGGAATAAATATCAAGCGATCAATATAAAGCGAAATTAAAAGCTAAGCAAATTTTAATGGCAGGCAACGTTTGAACTTAGAAATTTGCTACTGTGAACGTAATTAGTCTAATACTAATGCATATGTATATATGTAAATAAATAATCGAGTTTTACTGCTAACAGAATTTCTGTATCTATCAGTTCTGTTTCTCTTCACACGTTCTGGCGTCACGCACCCTTCATAACCGCTGTCTAGCACGGGACACATCACAATCTCCACTGGAACCCAAAGAAATTAAACTAATTATTATATTAAGCAACCCGCGCGAACATATGAAACACCAAAAAGAACGTTTGAGTAAAGGTCAAGTCTCACGCAACACAGGAACGTTAAACAGACCGTCTTCACCAAATGCATGGCAGCAGTTACTAGTGATGTGTGATAAAATAATATAAATAATGAAACCTTGTCAATAGGCTTTCCGGAGCCGTTGAAAATACGACCGAGCATGTCCTCCGACACGGGCGAGCGAAGGATATCACCAGTGAACTCACAAATAGTGTTTTTCGCATCAATACCAGAGGTTCCTTCGAAAACCTGGAAGGATGTGCTAAACTTGGTATGGAGTTGAAAAAAAGCATGCAATCTGCGTCAAAACAGCGATCATTCAATGTTTTTCCAACGCAAAATCGAAGGATTTGCGAGACAGCTTCCTGCATTGTTTACATTTCACACTCTCTACGGAAGTACGGCTGCACAGCTCTTTCCTCTATAACAAAATAAAGAGCTTCAGGTTCCGTAAAGCACAATGGAAGGTAAGTGATTAGGAACAAGAAACTGTAAAAAATACCCGGTGTACTTTTATGCTCATGCGAACTTGACAGCAGCTTTAGGCCTTTCCCCTTCCCACTGAGTGCTTCATTTTCTTGATATATCGACGGAAAGTGGTAGTTAACTCGTATTCATGTAAGTCATAAAAAAAAAATAGGTTCGACCAAATGAACGTTGGGAAAAATACCATCCTTTTGCCTAAATCGATCAAATCCATACCTGCACAACAGCCTTGTTTCGAGTTATTTCAAGAACTTGTCCAGATCGTTTGGAACCATCAGGCAAGGTGATGTGAACAATTTCGTTGAACTGCGGAAACTTGACATCGTTAAGGATGACGAGAGGTCCATTAACACCAGTCACGGTCTTATAAACTGAAAAGCATGGTCATAGAAACCAAAACAACCGAGACCAAATAAGTAAACAAAACAATATAGCATTAATTCAAATCACCAGTTCAATTCAAATCAATCAAATTTACAGAGTTGCAGAACAGCTGCTTCTGACAATTATTTAATAATGCACTGGAAGCTTCCATATAGGATTCATGTATATATCCCTGATTTTTACACACCCATGTAATTTAAGAATTCCCAAAATTTTCAGATCCTGACTGAGCAGACTGTTTGAGATAAGTTTAGCTAAGGATTACAACATACTGAGTCGTGGTTGAGTGTTGTAGTTTCGAATCGTCGCTGTTTTGTGTGAAGTGATACCCTTGTTTACGTCCACCGCTGCCATTACTGAAAAAAATTCATAAGTAAGACAACATAGTTGTTATCCAATTAGAAAGCACAGATATTGCAATAAAAAGATGTTTCTGACAGAGTACACGCAGGAGCAAAAGATTGTCATAAAGGGAAAGTAGGAATGCGCGTTTCACAACAAGAGTGAAGGAAAAATGGAGCAAAAGAAGGATGCGCTACGCATTTTGTCACTTTGACTTTAAGGAACATTGAATTGTTGATTGTTTTGGTTGACATTTCTTANTTGTGTGAAGTGATACCCTTGTTTACGTCCACCGCTGCCATTACTGAAACATATACATAAATAAGGCAACATAGTTGTTATCCAATTAAAAAGCATAGATATGGCAATGAAAAGAATTTCATGACAGAGTACACGCAAGAGCAAGAGATTGTCATAAAGGGAAAGTAGGAATGCGCGTTTCACAACAAGTGTGAAGGAAAAACGGAGCAAAAGAAGGATGCGCTACGCATTTTGTCACTTTGACTTTAAGGAACATTGAATTGTTGATTGTTTTGGTTGACATTTCTTAACGGTATCACTGACTTCATGGGGCATTCGTAGCAGCTAGCTGTAACGAATCCTTTGACATTTTTTGGGATCACTCCTTCAATCAATACACCAAGAGGGGCGTGGGTGAACTACGCATTTTGCTCAATTCCCCCACATTAGCTCCCGGAAATTCCGAGAAAATGATATAATGTGAGCAGCACTAACTTTTTTGAGGTCCTTTCTAGCGAAAAGTAAAGTTTCAGAAGCTTCTAACAACTCGAAGACCACACACTGATCAAATGGGACTATGGCGCGCCTGCAACGGGAATCCTTCATTGAAAGTAAAGTGGAGAGAAGAAAGAGAACGAGGGCAAATGAGAATGGGGCTTGATAAAGAAACCACGCGCGTAAGTCAACTAAAACGAACTACTAACTCAACGAAAATCATATGCACAAATGCTGCAATCCCCAAAGACAAACCTTGATTTGGAAGAAAATTTCTCCTTCAGGTCAAAAGCACTTGATTGCCTTAGAAAACACATAACTTCTACACGACAATTTAAAAGCAACTCCCTCTTCTAACAAAACAATCAGTTGCAGCATATGATACTCTTCAACGTAGGTTTATCAAATCGGGAATTCGGTCGCACGGTTCGCAGTAGGTGAACACGATCGGCACTCATAAGCTACCTCAATAGGTACTGAAATCATGAGCGGAGAGTGAAATACTAGAAAAGCGATGATACAACACCAAAACTTGGAGAATGTAGTGGAAATGAACAATGACGAGACGAAAGGCCAAAACCAAAGAGCAGTCTACCGTTTCCACTGCACGTTGTTGCTAGAGCGCGTTTGTTGACGATTATCGACGTGGGTGGTTTCGGGACGCCAACGTCATACATATGCAGAATTCTCGACCAGGTAAACGAGTCTCTTCAGTGTACGCGCAGTTCAATGGAGCTTTCAGACCTACTTTGTAAGTTGCTGAGGCGAATCATCAGTATGGAGCAATTATAATAGTTTGGACGGCAGACTTCGAAACCTAACAAAATTAACGGACAAGTTCTGCAAATCAGTTGTTTCATTTTGAGCCTTGTACTGCACAGTACTATAACTGTCTCATCAGTTGTTTGTCGGGGACCAAAAACTAGCGCCCATCAATATGGTTTGCTTTTGATGCTTTTACTTTTACATTATATTCTGAATAGAAGTTGAATGTGTGCGCGCATCCCTCTGACGGGATCGGTGAACACTTCAAGACTTTTTCCTCTGTTACGTACGTTATGGGTGGGTTACGGATCTAACTACTGTTTTTGCATGATGACCCTTGATGAATTTCGAGCATATCTTGATGAAATCATTGGGCAGATGTGGTGTTGTGACAAGTGGCGCACTACCACACACGCATGGTCCGGGTACGATTCCCGGCCCCATATGTGCCTAGGTCAACCAAATGGCGTCAGGTCAACTATTCGAGTAAATCAAAACACTGGCTTGTACATGGCTGGCCACAACAATTTAGGTCAGATATGCAATCAGTACGTCGCTACGATTCTGAAGTCGAATGCGGGCACATCCCAAATAGGGATTGATCAACGTCAATAACTTCGCCTTCTATCATAATGGTTATCGCCGATATATAATTCACTGATGTAAGGTAGAGTTTCTCTTGAACACTGAGCAACCCATCCATAAGCAGTTAACGGTCCCTTTCTAGCGTTAACCCTATTTCTGCCAAATCACTCTAACGAGTTATTCAAAAGCAAAGCTCAAATCAGGAGAGGATTTCTCGCGAATGTATAGCGCTTTGTACATATCTTCGCATCCACATCGCCATGGGAGGCCGTAAGCGTCGATTGCCATCTTGGCGCCGCCCACACAACGTATATTCGGCACGTGCAGCTCGCCCGAACTATCAAACCTCTCTATTTAATAAGAATGAAAATTCAATATGGGTACTTGACTCATACAGCAATCCCGCATGGTATAACCCCATTTTAATGCGCAAATTCTTACCTGGCATATATAGGAGGCGTTGAAAACGGGGCTTGGGAAAGGACACGGGGTGAGTGGTGGAGAAGTTAGGAGGGTACTGTAAGGACCGGGTGCCCGTAATGAATATTTGTTTCTGTCTCAGTTTAAGGTCGGCTGTCAGCCTTATTAGGGTTGATCCGCCCCTAGATGCGGGGCCACCGTGCTTAAGGGTGAAGATTGAAAGATCATGAATTCTATACATTCTCATTAATCGAGTAGGAAAAGACTTCCTCTAGTGCTATGCTTTGAAAAGCAATTTTTTTGAAGAGTTCACAATTATGCGTGCATTGTCCAGGGATAATCATGGACCGACATTCGCTCACGCCGATTAGTCCCACTTTCCCTTGCGCGTCGGTCAATTGGTACTAGATGTTCTGGGGAAAAACCACTGTCTGTTATTAGGTTGGCAAGAAGGTACCATACTTCGACAAAAAATTCAAAGAATTAAAATTTTTTTTCAGAAGTAATGTGAATACTTCAGCAAGGGTGATATACTTCTAGATAATTCCCCGGGCAATCAACACGTGAGCAAACAAGGGCACGCAAGTGGGCAATATGTAGGTTCCATTCGATATGAGCACCAGATTCGTATTGTCATCTTCTACTAGGCTGCATCACCTTCTCCTAAGCACAAGTCAATGACTTTTTCAAGTCAGTTTCCTGAAATCTGGACAGAAGCCATTGGTGATTTGCTCAAAGGGTAGGAGGAAGCCGTTGATCTCTCTCACGTATTTCAATATTTGAATGTTTTGGAAAATTTCAGAGATGAATTTAAAAGGGCTATCTCTTTGTCGAAGTATTTCTTGCCGAGCTATGACATCTTGCCCACTGGCTGCTTTCAAAGTCCACCACTTTGCCAGCGACCGATCGCGCGATCGGTCGCAATCCAAATCGTGGGCTATTTGGCCAGCGACCGTTGCGCGACCGGCCGCGCGATCGGTCGCTGGTCAAATTGTGGACTATGAAAGTAGCCACTGCAAGTGATTGTGTAACCCACATATTTATGCATTCGGAGCGGCAACTCAATTCTGAATGGAAGTTGATTGCGAGGCGCATCACAAAAAGCGGACTGACTAACGATAAAAGTTTTTCCTTTTACAACGCTACGACAATTTCCTTAGGGCTTTTCCATTAAATTGCTGGTATGTTCCTCTAAACGCCATTTTCTTTCTCTTTGTTGTAGTGCAGTAGAATACTAGAAGATTAAAATGCAGATAGGTTCCCAGAAAATACAACAGTACTTCAGGCAATCAAAGCAGCGCGTACTTCTTGAAAAAGCCATACTGGCTTCCACGAAAATCACTAGCAATTCATCAAAGCTACAAAGGCAAGCAAAAATAGCAGAGCCCAGGCTTGGTTCGCTTGATGTCAAAATAAGACGATTGCTGCAGTATCAGGATAGAATAATACGTGGATTGTACTGAAACAAATCGTTCAACAATTTCAGGCGTCGTCTTCGGTCTGGGACCACCTGAGACCACTCATTCATCATTCATCGGTGTGTCGTGGTTGAAAAGAATCGAATTTGAATAGGGATTGTACTCTTTCCACCCATTTTCATAGGAAAAACAGGCTTTTGTTTCTCCCCCCCCCCCCCCCCCCCCCCNCCCCCCCCCCCCTCCCTCCGCCCCATACTGCTGCATTATTGCAAAACACTGGACATGCGAAGTGTAAACCAATGGGTTACTGGCATTTCAAAAAAGTGACGGAATTGCAATGGAAAACAGATCAAACCTTAGAACGAAGTCTTTTTGAAATAATGTCTTTTATTTTCATCACCTCTCAAGATTTTTGCAAAAATTTGATCCAAAAATTTGCACGGAGTGGGATTTGAACCCACGCTCTCGTACGAGAACCAGAATGCCCCGTCCGCTATCTCGCGACAAGCGTATGCTTGAGTCTGGCGCCTTAGACCACTCGGCCATCCGTGCGCTGCAGAGGTACGACAGATCGGTACCAAATGCCAATCGTGCATATTTTCTAGAACTGTCAGTAATACACAGGCTCAATACTCATGTGCATGTACGAGAATTTGTACAAATTGATAATAAGGTGAGAAGGAAAGGGCTGAATCCTAGAAGAAAGAAGGTAGACAGTTGAACATCGCTTGGC